CATGAGCATGACACTGCACTCCAGTCTGGGTGACAGAGCGAGATTCCAACTCAAAAAAAAAAAAAATTTTTTTTTTTTAATTAAAAAAATAAAAAAATAATCCTGTTTGGTGTCTTTCACCTGGTGTTTTTCTATTCAAGCAGACAATGCAGTCTTGTTTTCCTTGTCCCACATTAATAATATGTAATTTATTGTCCAGTCTGTAATTCAAAGATGACATGGGTGGAAAGATGCACTGGTGATTCCTGAAAACCACTTCTCAACTCATCAATCAGAAGCTTAGTAAGTTTCAAATGGGACATTCCTTTTTTTATGCTTGGAACAGCATATAGGAGTTAAAAATGCATATTTCTAGTACCCTGAAGAATAATTTCCTCCATCATTTTAATATTTTCACAAAAAACAATATGTAGAAGCGTATTGATCAGCACAATCCATACTGCTCATATTTGCAATATAACTTAGAATCGTTTCAGGCTTTCTGACTGATATAATATTTCCACCACATAATGTCATTATGGTAGATTTTATTCCTGCATGATTCCAAGTGCTGAGAATTGTAACAACTCTTTTATCCTTCCACACAAGAAGCATAAGATTATTTTTCCTATACACTACTGTTTTTGTTGTTGCTATTTAAAAAACTTTGGCTTTTTAATTTGTGCTGGTATTCCCTTTTGGCTGACTTTGTACCAGTAAGATGACATTTCATCTTTGGTATCTCTTCTGCTAGGACAATACTAGTGTAATGTATGTCAGTAAACATGTGGGTGTCCTGCTGCATTGGAAACTTGTTGGTACCACTGTGAGCATTTCACACATTCTCTTTCTACATAAGGCCAGCTGATTTTTTTAAACATATATTCAGTATATATTCCATCTCTTTATTTGCTTTTTTGTGCAATTTCAGTAGAAAACTTCAAGGAAACATACGTTTTTGAAAAATTTGCACTCGTATTAAGTTTATCCTGTAGAATCACTAGCAATCTCTTTATGTCCCTTGAGAGGGAACAGGTAAATGGTTTGCTAGATTTATGATGTCCCCTCAGAGGGGACATCTGAGTGCAAAGGTTTAAGCAAACTATGAGCTAAGAGTGGAATGCAGCAGTTATTTGGTCATGAGTTTTTAATGACCATTTCTCAACCTTTTAAGGTCACAAAGACCTTCTAAATAATGAAAGTTACTGTTTAACTAGACTTAAGCTTTTATTAGAACATTGTGATTTGGGTAATTTCTTATTGTTTTTGTGATTTACTACACTGGTAGTTTCACATTCCAACCTGCAAGGTGGCCAGGTTTGATATGCCTGGCCAGTTGAGTAGAGGTTGTATACCCATAAGAAAGACGTCTGAGCCAGGCTCGGTGGCTCAGCCTGTAATCCCACACCTTTGGGAGGCTGAGGTGAGTGGATTGCCTGAGCCCGCGGGTTTGAGACCTGCCTGGGCAGGGAGACCTCATCTCTACAATAAATCAAAAAATCAGCCGGGCGTGGTAGCGCATGCCTGTAATTCCAGCAACTTGGAAGGCTGAGGCGGAAGGATCGCGGGAGCCCAGCAGGTCGAGATCTGGGCGACAGAGTGAGACTCCAACTCAAAACAAAAAAAAAAGAAAGAAAGAAAGAAAGAAAGACGTCTGAATGCTCACCCTGTTTCTTGGTTATCTAAATTATACCTAACTACATCTAAACTATATGCTATGCTAACTATGCCTGCCTCTTACCAAATTGAGTAGGAATGGCACAGAGTTCAAGAGACTCAAGAAAAGACTTGGAGATATCCAGCGAGACATAGGTTTATTGGGAACTTACATATAGGGGAGGGAGAGGGCTAGGAGCAGCTGGCCTGATGGTTCACCACTAGCAGTTTTCAACAGACATGCTGTTTATGTGGAAATCTTCACTTGGCAACTTCCACCTAGCCCAAAACAAAGGACCTCAGTTCCTTGCACATCCTGCAGGACCAGTGTTCAAGTGTTCCTCATAGATAAAGAGTAAATCTCTGGTTGGCTACTCCTGGATTCCTTAGCTTGGAACTCTGAGCAAATATACTTTGACCATAGAGTCATTCTTAAGGTATGCTTGTATTATTACAGTCCGCTCACACCAGGGTTCTGTGGGAAAATGACTGATTTCAGATCTGGGGAAGAAAAGATTAGCATACAATATCTTGTCTTAGCAGAAAGCAAGAAAGCCATGAAAGACTATTGGGATCATGTCAAAAGAGACAACCAATTGGGAGGTGATCCCACTGGCCGAATATGGAAAAAATTGAGCATCAAGAAGAATAATGACTGCAAAGAAGTATGTTGAAATTCCAAAGTTCATATTGACATATGAAAAGTCACTTTGGTCACCTCAGATGCTGCTAAGGAAAGACTCAAGCTTTTATT